ATTTTCCTACTCAATCTTTGAGTACTCTAATTCCTCGAGTTCATTTCCCCCACCCACCCTCATTCTCTCCCCTACCCCCACCCCCGGCCACCCCTCCCCCCAATGAAGCCCTTTGAATGGGTAATTTAAACTTTCAAATCATAATGGAATCCTGGCCTCCAAAGATTTTTCATGATAACTTTGTATCCAGAACTTTTTAAATAAGAACCGTTGAATAGTATTCTTTAATATTTCTTTGCTGTCATTATATTTTCTTGTATATGCTAAATTTAACATTAAAAATGAAACTAATTTTACAGAATGTTTTGGGGTAAAAATGAAACATGGATATTTGTTTTGAATACTTAAATATAGTATTTTAGGTAAGATTTAAGTGTTTTTCACCAAAGAATACTATTACTAAGGCTCGAGGTTAGAAATGATGTGATATTTATATTCAATGATGATAGCGCAATAAGGTCACAGTTACAACAGTGGCTCTTTTTTCTATCCGTGAACTTATGATGATTTTTTGGATGGTTACTGCACAACATAATGCCTCCACTCGTGCAATGCATTAGAATGTATTATTTTCATAATTTGGGATGAATTTAGTAAATTTAAATTACTAAATTTTAAATTTTGAAAATGAATCATGTCTAAAACTATTCATTTTAGGATAAATGATAAAGAATAATTCAGTAAAACTCAATCTCGATACTTACTCTATATGTGATCACATGACACTAAAAAATATACATGAATCCATCATAAGGCATTGCAGTGTAACATCTCCGAGGATGAGTTGCCTTCTTGAATTGAAACGTGGAATGATGAGAGACAGAGAATTGAAATATGATAGCAGTTTCTTAATAAAATAATATATTCATGTTACCTTTGGTTTATAGAACTTTAGATGTAATTTTTTAACATATATAAATTCTATTTTTAAATTGCGTACCAATTTTCATATAAAATGATTTGAGAATAATTTTAATCAAACATAAAAAACCGCAACAAACAATATAAATTGGAATGAAGAGTGTAACAAAAGAGGGATGCTAGGGGTACACCTTTACAAATGCACACCACTATTTTTTAAGTTGTTTCTTGGCGCTTAAGAGTTTAAGTTGTTCTTCACCTAATAAGTGGAAAAATCAAAGGTAAAATGAATCAGGGGAAATAATAATTATATCAGAAAGCTCATCTGCTCAACATAATTTGATCAAATTTGCACTAAATAGTACTAAAACATATGTCATTTCCCAATATATTCTGTCTAACCTACTTCTCTGAATGTTCTGTCTGTTTTCAAAGCTTCAAAAAAGGTAAATCAAATTAAAAGCAAATCATGAGATGCCCAAAAAGAGAAACACATTAAATGAAGTGATCTGAGTAATATTCAGAACATTTGGCAGTACTAAAAGCCATTAACGATAGGCATTCTTAATGAACATTTGGCATTCTTAAGAGCGTCATAGATTTAAAAAAATCTGTTTTTAAATTCCAAGCAAGAATAGTATCATTCTCATTGCATCAGGTGAAACAATAAACTGCCTAATACTCTGAAAAAATAATATCTTCAGAATAGATATCTGGTCATGAAATAAAAAATGCCTTCTTCTTAACCAAATCAAATCTCTCAGTTATCATACGGAATAATATCAGGTTTTGGGAACCCACCAGTTTGTTAAAAACACCAAGATACACATACATACATATATACAACTATTCAATCATTTTTTCTAATTTCTCAATGCATTTTCAAATAGACACTATGTAGAAGATCATAAAAATTTACCCTCGTGCATGCCTTTGCAAATTCATCAAAGTGACATATTTCTCTCCAAACATGTTAATCAATGCCTCTGTGCTCTATCACTGGCAAAAGACCCGAACAAAGGCCTTCTTTGCAAGATAGTGGTTACAATACTTGTACAAATCCCAAATGTGTTGTGTTAAAAAAACTAATGCCATTTGTCTTTTACTAACCTTTCCAGGATACTGAACAAAGCATCTCTGTCTTTAGCCTCTGATTGTGCATGTTCTTTTCAAAAAATCCTTTTGTCTATCAGTAGCAATAGCAGCAGGGCATTTTTTTATGTTTGTTTTTAAAAATTGTCAAGAAATAAGAACCCTAACCATTTGGGACGAATATATGCTTGACAGTTTTGGCCATGGGAAAAGTAAAAATAAAGGACTAATTATATGATAGTATAATATTGCGAGGAATCACTAATTATTTGATAGTATAATATTGGAGTAAATAAAGTGTATAAGTCGTGGAGTAAATTATATATATAAGTCATGGAAACTTACCAAAAAACATGTGAGGCAATATAGAATCAATGGATTAAAGAGTTACGGGAGAATTGATCAATTGAATTGGGGAAGAAGAAGAATTAACACATCAATTTAGGAAAGAAAATAATTTAGGAAAGATATTTATATTAAAATAAAATGTTGATTGCCCATAAAAATTTACATGATTATATTCAGAATTCAATACTCCGTTAAACAAATACTCCTTCGGCCCCAAAATCTTGAGCATTTACAAAAAGCCATGCCAAACTTTCACAATTAATTTCACTTTAAGAAAATTGGGTCCATCTAAGAATATACTTTTGATAAATTTTATAACATTTATTTTATTAAATTATTTTAATTTGTAATCAAAGATTGTCAAAGTTTCACAAAAAAATCAAAACAAAAAGGTTTATTTGGGATGGAGGGAGTATGTTTTTCCCACACCGTTGATTTTTAAAAAACGTTTTCCCCATTGAAGTTAACACTATCAGAATGACGAAAAAGTAAACATACCAACATGAACAACATCACTTAGCAGCTAACCCTATTTTTTAGAGAATCAAATACAACATAGATTTAAATTTGGAACTTAGTATCTTTCAAATGAGTTTTCATCTTATCAAAATGTCATAATTTCATTAGTTGTTCCATGCTCACTACATGCACTATTCCTCATTGGTGTATAGTATCTTGAATCATCCCAAAAATTATAAGCCAAGTTCCATTATGAAGTAATGAAATCTGACTTCGTATAATATTTTGTCATGTTCAGACCGTAAGATAAATCAATTGAATATTCTTGATATTTTTTTAAATTAATTTAATATTTCTGCAAAATTGAAAATCAAGACCCAACCTAATGAACCTATGAATTATAGGAAAGATAAAATCATCAATCCATCATAACAACATGAAATATAAGAGCGTCAATAATTGAAATTATGAATGGAAACCATTATATTCACACTTACCAAAAGAAAAACAATCAAGGAATATGTAGCTAATTAAGATATACTGAAGAACAATATAAATTGAATATGCACAATTAAATTAGGGAAGAATAACAATTGAATATGAAAATCGAAACATACCAAGTAACACTGATCCCAGCATCCGTGCAAATTTTCATATTGAATCCCGAATCTCAATTTTGGTATTTTGGATCTCAAATATGCTAGAAGATTGGATGAGTAGCTATGGTATTCGTGTTTCTGGCAAAGCAGAGAAGGCTTAGAGAATCAGTGACGAAGAAATTTTGGATTTCCTGCGATGAAGAAATACCGTAAGAAGAAGGGCAGTGAAAGAGTTTCCTTCGAAGAAGAAAGACCGTGGAGAAAGACCGTAAATTTTGGAATTTCAATTTCTTTCTTTTTACCAATGTTCTGAAAATCAAACCGGACATCGACTCGGACAAGCATTTGGGTCAAGAGTTAACCGGTTGGACCGGGTTAAACCGGGTCAAAGACTTGGTCAATTGTAATTAAAATAAAAATATTTTTAATAAATTAATATACATATTTTTACACAATAAAAGTATTTAAGTTTCTTTTTTCTTCTCCACCTAGTTTTTAATATCATTTTTCATATAGTACTCTTTCACACTTTCAAAATTTAATTTTTATAACCTTTAATAATGTTTTAGAATTTTAATTTTATTGAAATAAAAAAATAAAAAAAATAATGTTCATTTCTTTATTATAAAAAATTATTTTGAAGATTCTTAAACTAAGAACCTTACACAAACATATCTCTATTTTTTAAAATAACTATCTTGTTAAAATTTTGAAAGTTTTCTACCAATATACATTAGTTAGGTGTCATCCTAAAATGAAGGTTGTGCAATGAATATATAAAAATAGTTATACACAAAAAAACCAACTCTAGTAGTGCAGTTGGGTGGAAATGCTAGAGCTTGGGCTTGAAGTTCAGGGGTCGATTCTCGATGCTGTAGATTTTTTTCAAAGAAAACAAAGTCACCTTAGACTCGTAAACTGTTCGGGTGGAACCGGGTCACCCGTTTCGACGGTTTTTACGTGAGTTTTCTTTAGAAGAGAAGGTTGGTAGTCTTGATTGTAGAAGTGACACGTGGCGTGGTGATTAGGTGTCAAAAAATTAGGCTTTAAACATTGCCAAATGACAGGTTCTTAGAGTATCAACTCTCAAATTTTATGTTAAAGGATTGATTCACCCCATGGTCCCAAGCTACTCTATATTCAGTGCTCGAGCATTTAAAAGATTGTTTTATTGAACAGATACTACACTGATGAGTATCATAGATATTACTTTCGTTCTAGTGTATTTACCCGATTTGACTTTTTTGAATTAAACTGGATGAACTTTAATCTCAACTAAATAAAAACTACTTATAATCACACACACACACACACACATACATACATACATATATATATACACTCCTGTGAGATGACACCTTACGGTGAGATGACATGCTTCGGTCATATGACACAAAGCTCATCAATAGCCACTGCAAAGCTCACCAAAAATAACTACAAAGTTCACCAAACTGTAAGGCAAAGCTCCCCATATGCTCCTATTTACAATAGCATCGGTAAAAAGTTCCGCCCATATGTATTGTACCAACTGCACGCACATCAGTTCCGGATATTAATTAGAAACTACAACTCCACAACCACCCAATATTTCACTCCACGCAAATCAGTTGCAAGTAGAAGAGGAGGGTATACTGTATACAGAGCACTACAGAAAAAAGGTGGGGAGTACTCATGGCTGCTGCTTCTGTTCCTCTTGAGAAACAGAGGGAGGCCGTGCAGGGAATTCTTATAGATTTTTGTTTTCGAATTATTTTAGATTTTTGTTTTCACATACACCCTCAGTGACGCAAGTGGAGATGAACTCTAAGCGGCCGAAGATTTGCAGAAGTCGCCACTCAAGCTTGATTCCTCTGAATAGAGTCGCGGTTTTCTGGAATTGCCTTTACTCGGTCTATGAATACATCCATGGAGCCAATCGTCCTGATGCCCTCAGAAGTCGTCGAAAGCCTAATTTCACGATTCTCTCCAACTGGATGCTCAGAGTTCAGATTGTTCCCAATATCGCTTCCGGTCTTGATTTCATTCACAATTCTCCCGGTCTAGGCTTCGATTTCGTCCACAACCAGATCCAGCATCATCGTCACGGATCCTCCACTTTACGAGCCAAAATCTGCCATTTTGGCACGACGGAGCTGTGCGGCGAGATCGCGAAGAGGAACTCGGAATCGGGCATGGATGTGGAATCGAACTGTAAGGAGATGAAGTTTGAAGGTACCAGAGGATACATGGCGCCGGAGTTTCAATCCACCGGGGCCATGTCATAGAAATCCAACGTGTACGCGTTCGGTGTGGTGGTGCTGGAGGTGGCATCGGGGACGGAGGCCTTAAAGTACGTTGTGGACAATGAGATGGGCGGCTACGCGAAAATCTCTGTCATCGAGACGAAGAGGGAGGCGTTTGTTTGACGGTGGACGAACCAGACAGTGGGTTTTTCCTTCAACAATTTTTTTTTTTCCATCAATATTGGATAAGAATGGGGAGAATAATTACAATGTGTAGAAGCATGGCTTGGGGTAACATATTCTCTTACTACTATCAAATTTTATGGATTTTAAACATAGCAACTCTCCAGCAAGATAGATTGGACAGACGAGTACAATTCTCTCCTTTATACTCTTTTGATGAACAAATTTGATAAAAAGATGAATCTAAATGTCTTCATGAAAATGTACTCGCCGACATTTACACTGGATTTAGTGATCCCCAAACAGAGTCATAGGTTCCATCTTTTCATTAGAAACAACTATATTGAGCTTGACATTAATATGGGTAACGAATATTAGGCCAGATTTATTCTATGGCAATTGTGCCTTGCTATAGGAGTAGATCATTGGTTACACATATGATTTATCCAGTATGTAAATGATAATGGACAAAGTATGTAAGAACAGGCACTCCTACCATCATTTTAACGTTTACATGAATAATTTACTGTTGGTCTTTTTGAGCGGATAACTTCTACTCCGTATATAAAATATTTTTAACTTCGCAGGGTGGATTTGCAAATTTAGTGTGTGGTGAGGTATATACCAATGGATGAGTCACCAAAACTCAATTTGATTTTGGGCATTCTCAGAGTTGGTTATCTGACTGATGTGAGTGCCGAAATTGGCTGAACAATCTTAGCCAATGACTGAGTGCTACGGAAGGGCAAATTTTTATGAACTCTATGACAATTTATGGAGTACTATATACGGAGTATGTTTTAAAACAAAGTTCCTAATATTTATTTTGAGATTCTAACGATTGATCACTACACAAGCATTCCGGAGGAAAAAAAATACTCCATACTCTACACTAAAGCAGATGAGTTTTGGTCAGAATTTTCCACCTAATTAAAAACTTCACATGTTTAGGAATAGCATACAATCTTCCTCTTTACAACAGTACCAAAAAAACTTTCTGTCTGAAAGATGTGATCATTATGAATGGACCAATTAACTTCGAAAATGGGAAGTCAGTTGGATGAACATAGTAGATACATTGTTTTAGCAGATTAGGGAGTATGAGCTCTCTTTGGAGTGGATTCTTGCAAGGTTTAAGGCAACATTGAATACTACGAGCAAATAAAATGGGGACACTGTAAAAACATGGACATAGCCACACACATGGACAATTTTGTTCCGGGAGCTTGCATAACACATATATATACATATGTAGACACATACATGTTGAATTTGTATATTTAACTCATTTAAATATAGTGACCCTGCAAATCTTTTACTGGGGACGAAATTTTTTACCGTGTGGTTTAAAATCTAGTTTTTTCAAAACTTTGAATTTTTTTTCAAAAAATAAAATCAAAGGAAGGGGTGCTGATAGGACTTTGACTGTTGACCGCCAGTATTGACCGCCGCCTGTCGCCGGTTGCCGCTCGCCGCCCACCGCCAGTCGCCGCCCGCCGCCTGTCCCGTCGTCGGTCGCTGCTGCCGGGCTCCAGCCGCCGCTGCTGCTTTGCCGCCGTTGACCGGTGGTTGACCGGTGTTGTTATTTTATTTTTAATTAATTTTTTAATTTTTAAAATTTAAAAAAAGGTGTTTTTTGGGTTCAAAGTGGTGAGCTTTGCATTGTCCATTGGTGAGTTTTGTATTGTAGTGTGGTGAACTTTGTGTCATCTGACTGAAGTATGTCATCTCACCGTAAGGTGTCATCTCACTGGAGTCAATCCCTGTATATGTGTGTGTGTGTGTGTGTGTAAAATAGAGTTTACTTCTTGACGTTCTTGTAGTGTTAACATGTGGCATGCCACGTGTGCATCCATTTATGAAGTGGATATATGCATTGCATTGGCCCATTTAGATTTCTTTAAAAGATCATTTAATACATTTGTATAAACTTTTTCATTTTTTTATAATTCTATAAATACACTCCCTCCGTCATAAAACCATCTTCTCATTTGTGTTTATGAGATTTGACCGACTTTATTTTCAATTAAATTTATTTGATTGTAGGCGTAAAATTTAAAAATAAAATTTACATATTTAAAAACTACATTAAAAGTTCTACAAAACGAGTGTCGACAAGACTATATTATTTTATCAAATAAGTAACTGAAATAGGTAACGAAAGTGATTTAAGTTTGAGTGTGTGAATAGTAACTAGGAAGATAATTTTAGAACGGAGGGAGTATATTTCACCATTGTAAAATATACTCCGTATTTTGAATATATATATATATATATATATATATATATATATATATATATATATATATATATATATATATATATATATATATAGATNTTAAAAACTACATTAAAAGTTCTACAAAACGAGTGTCGACAAGACTATATTATTTTATCAAATAAGTAACTGAAATAGGTAACGAAAGTGATTTAAGTTTGAGTGTGTGAATAGTAACTAGGAAGATAATTTTAGAACGGAGGGAGTATATTTCACCATTGTAAAATATACTCCGTATTTTGAATATATATATATATATATATATATATATATATATATATATATATATATATATATATATATATATATATATATATATATATATATCGATGTATGTATGTATGTGTGTGTGTGTATATGGGATTGACACTAGTCAGATAACATGTTTCGGTCAGATGACACATGAGTCAAATGCCAATGTATGGTTTATTCTGAATCAACGTAGTACTCATTCTGAAACAATATATGGTACATTCTTGTTGATTAATAATTTAGAATTTTCTAGATTCCATTTGTTCTAGAAATATCTTGGATAATCTATTACATGGAAAAGCCTAGAATAGTATTTGAAATTAATATAGTATTCCAGAAATGACTCTTTGTATTCTAAGGAGATAAAAACTATGTAGAAATTCTAGAGTGTCCTATTAGTACGTATAAAAAGCCCCCTTTGTATTGTCATTTGCATCAAGTTGAGTGAGAACAATTCCTCTTCCAAAATACAAGTGTTCTTCCCTTCCTTTTCTTCTTTGTGTAGCCTACAATATTTCTTTATTTTTTCTAACAATTCTCACACAATGGTTTATCACAACATAATGTTCATTTCGAAACAACATAGTATTCATTCCAAGTCAGTCAAATGACAACGTAGGGTTCATTTTCAATCAACGTAGTGTTCTTTTTCAAACAACGTAGAGTTCATTCTCACACATTTATTCATTATGAACGTAGTACTCATTCCGAAACAACATAGTACTCATTCCCAGTTTGCTCAGTATAGTGTTCATTCTGAAACAACGTAGTGCTCATTCTCAAACAAGGTGGTGCTCATTCTGAAGCATGTCATCAGTCATCTGACCGAAACATGTCATCTGACTGGAGTCAAACCATATATATATATATATACATATATATATATATAGACACACACACACACATATATATATAACTAGTATTTTAACCCGTGTCGTGCGTGGGGTGGAACGAATTTTTTTGTTTTAAATTTTTTATTTTTCTTCACTTCAAAATTTTCAAAAAATCGTACAAAATAAAACATCAACTCTTAAAGGTAAAATAATGAAAAAATATGCTCTCTCCGACCCACAAAACTTTCTGATTTTGATTTTTAAAGGAATTTATTTTGGTGTTTACCTTTCAAAATTGCCCTATGATATGATGAGTAAAAGTAAAATGTGATGGATAGATTAATAGTGAAAAAATGTGATGTGATAGATGGGTCAAGAATTAATAGGGGTAAAGGGTACTTTTTAATAAAAATGAGAAAGTTTTTGTTGGCACGGATGAAAAAAGAAAATAAAAAATTTTTGTGGGTTAGAGGGATTGTAACACCTCAAAACATACCCTAGAATTATTAATAGATAATTATTAAAATTAATCAAATTTGTTTTGATTAAAATAAATTGTTTGTTGGGCTTTGGGCCGATAAGAAATATGCTTAGATGTCCAATATCACAATTTGGATTAATCTCATAGAGATAAATCCAATATGTTAATTATTTGTATTGTCTTGATTGGGAACCTGAGTACAGACCCAAATAAAAAATAAATGAAGAAATCATTTATGAAGTGAACTTTAAAATGATTTATTGAAATAAATCATGAGATTAAATAATATGAATTTAGTATGAGACCCTTTTATGATAAAAGTCAATTAAATCAATTTTGACTCTATCAAAGTCAACCACCCAAAAATATGATGTCGGAAAAAGTATAACGAGTAAATATAAAAATTATATCATTGGATAGAGTTTAATCGTGCGATCGCAACGATGCAAACAGAATTCAATTCGGAGAAAGTTGGACCAAAAAGTGAACCCTGATTGAAACCAAAATTAGTCCCAATTAGGGACTTGCTTTAGGAATCGTGAAGATCGCAGCCCTTCCCACTAAGACGCCAAAACAGGGATGAATATATCATAAGCTTGGCTTCTTCTCCATTTCTCTGCTACATAAACCACCCTCACTCTCTTCATTCTTCACCAAAAATCAATAAATTTATTACCATTCTGTTCTTGAGAGTAAGAGGAGTGCATTGGTGTTGTCAATTTGGTGAAAGGTCACCGGAGTTGGGAGTTGTCGTCGCCGGAAGTTTCGCCGGAAAATATTCAAAACCTTCATTTACCTTCGAGGTAAGCCCGTTGATATATCTAATGACTAGAATGTTTGTATAGATCGTTTCTACGTTCATAAACGGTCGTTTGGTTGAATTTTGTGTTTGACATGTTTGAAGAACCAAGAATGATAAGCCTTGAATTTGATGTTAAAATCATGAATTAATGGTAGTAAAATGATGTACGAACCTTTGAGAACATTCATATATAATTTAATTAAAGTTTGGCTAGTAAAATGATATTTTCGAAAGTAATGGACCGAGGAAGAAGACTATGAACAGAAGACATTAATCGATTAACTCATTCTATTTAATCGATTAATAGATTAATTCATGTTGATTAATAGATTAATTCATGTGGATTAATAGATTAATCTTGATTAATAGATTAATTTTGATTAATAGATTAATTCATATTGATTAGTAGATTAATTTGGATTAATAGATTAACTCATGGTTGATTAATAGATTAATTCACTTTAATCGA